ACACACACACACATTATATATATAAATACAATAATATATAGACACACATATATTATATAGACACACACTTTTATTTTAGAGTCGATTAATCATGATTGATCGCCTTGACAGCACAATTTTTTTTTATTAAGCTTAAGTTTTTATAATTTGTTTCAGCTTTATTTCATTTAAACATTTTTCAAATATTTTTTACATTTTAATTTTAGTTAATAATAACAACACTGGACAGTAGACCTGTGAAGTATATTCAATGATATGAAATAAAAAACCTCTAAAGCCACTTTTGTCTATTATGCTTTCATCTGCCACAATAAAGTAATTACTAAGAATTTTCTTCGTATTGATATATATGTTTAATTGAGAATAATTGATTTGTTTATATTTTTAGTCTCCAGCCTGACAATATATTTCATATTCTCAGTCAGTCCCTAAAATTCATCCAGTGAAAAAGTATCACGTCCACCGTTCACATTTCAATCTTCAGTTCATATCAAGCATGATTCTCTGTAACGAGATCTTGACACATCAACCATCTGCAGCCGTCAACATCAAAGAAGCACCAATCGGGAAAACTGATCTGAGCTGAACTTCTCCTTGGAAATAAACTGCAGTCTGTGTTTGGATAAATAGTGTCTCTCTTGAGAAATATAATGGAAACCTGTTCCATTAAAGCAAAGGCTGTTCAGGATGGGGGTCACTGATTTACAACCAGGTTGGTTTCAGCAGTAACGGCTGCCCCCGTTAAACACCCCGAGATACCCTGGGTGTGCGGAGTTTGCGAAAACTGTTTAAAAATAAGCCTCCTTGGGACGGCCGTGATTATGCATGTAGCTGCAAAAAGCTTGAGAATGTTGTGTTAAAGTCTAGGTGATATTCGTCTTCACGTTGTATTTAACAATGCGAGGTGTCTGCAGTTATCGTCCCCATCCGTTTCTCCTTTTTTTCTCCAAGATGACAAAATAAATGTACTTGACTCCCTGTTTTTTACTGTGTGGCATTTACAAAAAGTCCCTCTGACATTTCCTTCTCTTTCTGCACTTTTCTCCCTCCCTCCGTCTCATCTTTTTTTTTTTTTATTACCTTCTTTCTTATTGGCCAGAGAGAGAAAAAAAACATTGTCTTTTGAAAAACAAATCTGCATAGCTTTTATTTTCCCTCTAATTTTCTTCTGCCTCTTTGGAACACAGTCCTCTTAATGAAGCACATTGCGGGTAGTTCACGACAGCACTGACAGTACACAACAACACTATGCGTTCTGTCGCATCTCTTTCCAGCACTTCAGACCTCCACTGACTTAACAGCAGGCACAAGTCTGCTACAACTCTGACCTTGGCGGAAAAGAAAGAGAAAGAGAGGAACATGTGGATGTATGTGTATAGACAGACATGCATGAGAGGAATCAAAGATATTGAGGGGGGGAAAGAAGGCAGTGTGGCTCTGTTCCAAACCCGAGTGAGTCTACTGTCTACACAGGCAGCTACTCTCCAAGCATCCTAATTAAACGTTCTCTGGAATGATCTACACAACTTACTGCCACTCATGTGAAGCACGCAATGTGTCTTTAAAGGGATACTCCACTTTCTTTGGAAATAGGCTCATTTTACAACTCCCCCAGAGTTAAACTGTTGAGTTTTACCGTTTTTGAATCCATTCAGCCGATCTCCGGTTCTGGTGGTACAACTTTTAGCATAGCTTAGCATACATCATTGAAGTGGACAAGACCATTAGCATTTCAAAAAAAAAAAAAAAAAAAAGGACCAAAGAGTTTCGATATTTTTCCTATTTAAAACTTGACTCTTCTGTAGTTACATCGTGCACTAAGACCGACGGAAAATGTAAAGTTGCGATTTTCTAGGCTGATAGGAACTATACTCTCATTCCTGCGTAATAATCAAGAAACTTTACTGCCGTACCATGAGTGCAGCAGGCGTAATGATATGAAGCAGCGCCTGAAAATAGTTCCGTTGTGTTGACGGAAGGTAGCCTATTTTCAGGCGCTGCGTCATATCATTACGTCATGTAAAATGAGCCTATTTTCAAAAAAAGTGGAGTATCCCTTTAAGGTTAGTTATCTAAACATTGTGGTTTAAAGTCACCATGAAATCAAATTTGGCCATTCTTGTTTTTTTTCTATGGAATATTTGAGGATTAATTATAAATGATTTATCCATGCACATCATTTTTATTTATTTTTAATTCACGATAACTTCCCTTCTCACTTGCAGCTCCCCGGCTAAGACAAATTTTGCAACGTTTTGCTAACGTTCCCATGAAGTTATGAAAACGCTATTTCTGAATTCAATTTTTAAACTTCAAAACGTTTTTTTCTTGGTCATGCTAACGTTAAGGGAACATTACTTTTAAATGTTCTCTGAACAAGAAGAAACATTTAAAATAGGTTAGACAAATGTCCAACTAAAAAGTTTCAGAAAAAAACGTTCCATGAAGGATCTATAAATAAAGATTTTTTGCTAATGTTTTAAGAACATTATTAAAGACCAGATAACATTGAAATGTTATTAATCCGTGTTTTAATCCGTCTCTTTTGTCCACTTTCGACCACTTTTGTAATCATTTCTTTTGTGGGAAGGGTAAATGTATGGGCTTTTTCAGATCTTTTGATCTAATGGACGAAATAAGCTTGAAGTAATTTACATACGAATGCGCCCGGAGACGACGGAAAAACATACAGAGACGAGCATTAAAGGGGTCATATAATGCCATTTTTGTACAAGCTAGTATGATTCTTTAGGGTCTAAATTAAAAGTTTGTAATATACTTTAATTAAAAATTCTCATTAGTATTGTAAGAAAACACTTATTTTACTTGGTTAAAAACAGCTCTGTTTTCAGCACGCCGTTTCAGTGCATATGACTTTAAATGATAATGAGCTTTGCTCACCCCGCCTCTCTGTTCTGTGCGTACACCGTTTGTAACACAATAACCATAACGCGTTGTTCAGTATAAACGTGGGATTATGAATTATATTGAGAACGTCATACATAGAAAACATGACGTAATGTACCCTAAGTGTAAACCTTAGACGCATTCATTGTGAAGCGTGCAGCTAGCGATTTGCAAAGATTAATATAAATATTAATATAAAGTTTAATAAAACGTTACACTCACTTCAGTTGTTCTAGAGGTTCAGCAGGAACACGAATAGCTGGTACCGATCCTTTTTTCATGAGCAGCTTCTTAGCAAAACCAGCTCATTCTGACCCTCGTTTATAAAGCAGTCTGGTGAGAAATGATTCGCGCAAACATGAGAGCATTGACGTTGCTCGTGGGGAATATTCCCTTCGAAAACAAACTCAGCCACTGCGTCTTCAGCAGTTCGGATTTAGGAACATCAAAATGACTGCTGTGTTCGTTATTACACCCAAGAACAGAACACCACAATCGCTTAGACGCCATTCTGCTCATAGACAGTGCTCCAGCATATCAACAATGATACGCCGGTCCGCGCAGACTATGATTGACAGCTCCCTCACGAGCGAGGGCGGGTCTGTGTTGAAACGATGCTGTCAATCAACAATCGTGGGAGGGGCTTCCGAGCGTGTGACGTCACAAAATCGAACGGCTCAATTTGAGGCAGGGGAAAACATATAAGGAGATTAAAACAAAAACACTGGATTTATCATTTTATGATGGTTGTGTACAGGCACTGCCAACACACATTTCAGTACAATCAACTTGTAAAAGTGCATGTACCATTATATGACCCCTTTAAGCTTTCGTTTCTGCTCTGACACCCACAAGACCAGCCGAACGCTGTGAGTGTGTGTTAGAAATCAGGAATGGTGAGAGAACATTGTGCGTTTTTTATCTTCAAACCAAACTTGGTTATTCAGCCGACAAAGTTTAAATCCCGTCTGTCTAGCGCGCTTCCCATAATGTTTATGCCTTAGGTCAGTAGGCGGAGAGAAGGCTCTTTTGCGGCTGTTCGAACGCATTCGACCACATGAGCGTTTACACCACGAAAGCAATCCAGTCTAATGTGTTGTCGACTACCTCTAGAAGTGGACAAGCTCACAATGTTTTGGACCCCGTTTACACCTGTATTTAGCGTCGTCTACTTGTGATCCGATCGACCAAAACGCACCTTAATACCAGGTCTAAACAGGGTTTAAAAGAACATTTGTTTATAACATTGAGAGAACATGATCTCTCTTCTCTGATGAGATTTTTCGGCCCGAGGGGGGACAACGTGTCACTAATATGAGATCACAGCAGTAGCAAACCACAAAGATCCAGTCAATTCCTGGTGGACAAAATGAAGCCCCGCCCTATACTATTTTATTGTTCGAGAAGCGGTTTCATACGGTACAACAGAGAAAAAAATTCCATTTCATATTTAATTAAAAGACAAATATAGTTCCTATCTACATGAATGGTGAAAGACTTAAATTCAAAACTGACATATATACGTGTATATCATTCAAATATATTGAAAAGATTGATAAAATTCCCTCTAATAAATACATATTAGCAGACATGGATTAACAAGGATTTATATAATTTATCAATCTTTGTTAATGTTAGTTAATTGTTCAATGTTCAAATTTGTTGGATCACCGTGCATACATGATGTTAACAGATATCATTTCTGATTTTTAATATTAGTAAATGTTGAGATTTACATTAACTAAGATTAATAAAAGTATTGTTCATAGTTGGCTCATGTTAACTAATGTAGTTAACTAATGGAACCTTTAAAAGTGTCAAATAAATGTGCTAATATTAAGAAATAAAAAAATTTACATTAGGATTTATAATCAGCAAATCTTTAAACTCTGCAAACCATCTTGGAACAAGCTTCACTTGCTTGATCACAATGCATTCTGGGATTGCTTTATCCACTAAAAATGCTTGTGATGTGTTTTAGAATCTGTCGAAAATGAAGTTTCTTATAAAGGCAGCAAAATGTATCCTCATCTGAACAACCTTTGCACCTAAAATGCCCTAAAATGTGTAGGTAGCAGTAACGTCTGTCATACCTTGGCGGCCATGATCATGGAAGAGCCTCCGCGGATGCCCAGGATGGGGATGTGCGTCTGAGCCGAGATGAAGTCCAATATCTGGGCGATGGCCTCCTGGTCGGTATCGTCCCCAAACACCACGCCCTGGAGCCAGTTCCGTGACATTAGAGCACAGATGCGGTTTATGATACTCTTGGGGTCTGTTTCGTTCATTGTGACCAGCTCGACTTTGGGAGAGAGAGGCACGTGTAGGAAGTCCTCTTTCTCCAGACCTTCAGAGAGAGACACCTCGCTGGAGTTTCCCACAAGGATCACTGCGATGCTAAGGCCTTGAGCAAACTTTGGTGGCAAGGGAGGACCCACTGGATTGACTCCTGGTGGAGGATAATGAGGAGGGCTGATGATCGATTGGCCTCGCTCTCCGCCGGGCGTCCCGATCCCGCCTCCACGGCGAGACTCGCAGGTGGGGAAGAAGAAGAGAGAGAGGAGAAGCAGCGAGAGGGAGAGGGTCGGTTTGGAAGAGGAAGCGAGGGAGACCAAAGACAGGACGCGACGGTCGGAGAAAGGGGAAGAGGAGAGGTGGAGGCTGACAAGCATGGCGGAGGAGTGAAGATACAGTCCCTGCAGACAGAGAAAAAGACAACTTTAGTTTGGGAGATGAATTCGCATCAAATCTACATGATCTGAACTTGACTCTGGCTGGTGAAAGTTGAGTCAAGTAAAGCTGACGAGAGACCTGTCGTTTTAAAAAGAGCATGTGACCTCATTTCAAGGGTCTGTCCTCTTCATTATTGACGTATGTTGGACAGAAATCACAGAAACTGGCAGTCTTGAGAAATGAGGTCATTTGCAGCAGTAAACACTTATGTTTATCTAACTAAGGACATGCAAAAGACTTAGAAAGTTTTTACAATTAGAGCTACAATGTAACTTTTTTCTTCAAAATTAACAACTTAATAATGAGAGAGTACATCATTAAACCATCTCGCCCTAAATCACTACGGTAAGCCTATAATCATTTATATTTTACAGAGGTCAGGATGGATTTTGCCATTTTTATAAAAATACAGTTTTTACCTTTAATAATAACATCCCAAGTGGAGGTTTTGTCAGATCTGAGGACAATTTTCTCCCCAAATTATTATTTGACGCTTTTTATACTGGGGATTTGCCATTGACATCAGTTGTTTTTATCCTGAGCTAACTAATGCTATTTTCTGTCATTTATGGGGACATTTGGTTCCTACAGTGTAGACAAAGCCTGGCCAACACATTCATGCACTTCAAAAATGAGCTGAAAGAGTTCAAATAACCTAGATTGTGAAACACAGTGAGAGAAAAAATTAACTGTGTGTGTACAGAGAGAGAGATAAATAGGGTGAGTAATGTGTGCACAATGAATACCAAATGCAATCAGATGAATAAGATACAAGATGATTTATCAGCAAACAGCATATTCTCTCACACACAAACAAATACACACACAGTAACTGACATTGGCCAGTTATCTTTCTGTGATGTTTTTGAGGAACACTTATTGTTATTTAGAGACATTTTCATTAGCAGAGGTGTGAAACAAGTTAGTTATTAGGGAATACGTTTCTGTCTGTTTGTTAAAGGTGCAGTAAGCGATTTCTGAAAGTGGATCGGACAGAGCAGCACAACACACTTGTACCCAATCAGCAGCAGGGGGGGTATACACTCATGATGGTAGAGGAGAGCGAGTGAGCAAGAGAGAGATTTGAAGAAAGACTGTAGAAAGAGAGATGGCTGAGAGACATTACAAAAGAGAAAAGGTCAGAGGACTATCACTGTAAAAAAAAAAGGGGTTATGAACAGGCAAGAGCTTTTTTAGGACCCGTGTTAATAATATTAGCATTGTTTCTGCTCCATACGTGAGTATTGAGTAACATTGGTTTTGCTGTGTTTCACAGAAACAACAACACATGCTGTTGTTGTAATGTTAGCTATAATAACTGGGCAGTTTTTGAGTGTCATTGGCTGTGTCCGAAATCTCCACTCAAACCACTACTCCCTAACCCCTATGTAGGGGGTAGGGAGTAAAGCACTATATAGTGACTCACCAGCATAATAGAAACACCACTTTCGGACACTACTCGGTCGTCTCTCGGCGCCGTTGATTAAACGCGCCATCATCTGTCAGCTGGTGCCGAGCCAGCTCTGGGCTAAATAGTTTTTTTTTTTTATAAATACATTACATTATATTGAGCTTATTTCTCCAAAATTGTAAAATTAAAAGTCATTTCTGGCCGTTTCTGTTATAATTCGTTACTCCACACATGATTATAACTTATAAACATAAATAAAATTAATACACATATTTCATTTATTTTCATTTTCGCGCCACACCGTTTTCTCTTGCCTGTCAACATTAGGGAAAAAAAAAACAGATCTACGTTATCAAATATCTTGCTCATAATACTCTTAATAAAACAGCTTTTAGACTCTGTGGAGATGCCACTCAATATTTATCTTTTTTGTTTGTTTGTTCTCTTGATTCAGAAGATTTTGCGGATTAGCAAAAGAAACAGGATTTCTAGACACAGAAAACGACGTGCTGTTCTTGCTACGCTAGCGAGACGTCGTCAAATTGTAAGTTAAAGATGAAGATGATGCTGATAGGTCTTTTACGATCAGCGCAATGTATGATGGTAGGGCCTGGGTTAGTGACCATCGGTTGTACACTACTTTTCAAAATGCATTCTGGGATACATTGAGTGGACTATATAGGGTATAATACTCATCACTATACATTCGGACAGCACTACAAAATGGCGAGCTCACTATATAGTGAGTAGTGGGAGATTTCGGGCACAGCAATTGTTTGTCTGGAGCTTCTGTGCTGCTGACGATTAACAATGAACTCTTGATTGTATTCTTGTGTACTGTATGTTTATTTTTTGTTCTTCCTTGTCATTTGTTCGTCATCTTCACTTTGTTCATTTTTTTCAGAAGCATTATTTTGCTTTGCTTCAGCTATGATAAAGTTCTCATCCACACTTGCATTGAGTGTTTGTGCATTTTCGGGGGGGGGGGGGGGGGGGGGGGGGGGCAATGAAGGAAGGGGTGTGTTTGTTTGGGTTCATTTCAAATATCAACATTGTTTCTCATAAATCGCTTACTGCACCTAATGATGGAATTTCTGAAACATACTAAAAAACACAAAATTGTTTGATTAGTGCAGTTTCATATCTTGACATTTTTCATTGAAACGGGAATTTGCGCAGACATACACTACCGTTCAGAAATCTGAGGTCAGTAAAACTAATACTTTTATACAGCAAGTATGCATTGATCAAAAGTAACAGTAAAGACATTTATAATGTTGCAAAAGATTTCTATATCAAATAAATGTTGTTTGTTTGAACTTTTATTTTAAAAAAAATGGTTTTCACAAAAAACGATTACACAAAACAATGATTTTGAACATTGATAATAATAAGAAATGTTTCTTGACCAGCAGATCAGCATATCAGAATATGATTTCTGAAGGATCATGTGACACTGAAGACTGGAGTAATGATGCTGAAAATTCAGCTTTGACATCACAGGATTAAATTACATGTTGAAATATATTCAAATAGAAAACTCTTCATTTAAATTGTAATAATATTTCACAATATGCATATTTGATTACATAAATGCAGTCTTGGTGAACAGACTTCTTCCATTTTGCGTGTAAAAAGTATCTTTTTTTTTTGCAAGCGACATTAAAATCATGTATTTCCTTATATTACAGTAGATATTTAACCAGTAGCAGCCTATTTTTGGAGCATAACAGACTAAATGACATGCCAACTAACAGCCACATAACTCATTTCAAGGGTCTTTAAAGAACAGGTAAAGAAAAACATGGTGGGTGAAGAGGAGGACAAAAGGATGAAAGGACAACATAAGGGAACCATTGCTCGGAAAGAAAGCAAACACGCTTGAAAAAGGAAGACTGCTTTTACAAGGCTAATTATTGGAGGTTTGTCAGTGCTAATTGCAGGTACACATGCTAATTGTGAATTAGCTCTCTCTGCTGCAGAAGAGAGAAGAGACGGAGGAGGACAAAGTGTGGGAGGAAGAAAGAGAAAGAAAGAAAGAAAAAGAGAGAGCGAGAACTCAGTAGAGGGGGAATGGAAAAGTATGGAGATGAGCTGCAAAAAGAAATTGAACAAAAAAACGGAAAAGAGAAAATTAGAAGACTAAACGAATAAAGCAGAGACAGAACGAGAGTAGTGGCGAAAAGAGAAAACGTTCTAATGATCAGCTCGTTAAGAGGAGGTAAGCAAAGTGAAGCACACAGATCGGAAGGATGAGCACTAGATAGGGAGATAGAAAACTAGGAGAACAGCAGCTGAGTGAACAAGAGAGCAAGGAGAGACTAAGATGCTCTATTTGGCTCTGCCTCTCATTTTAACAGCACTTGGTTTCCATAGCAACTATTCAAATGAACCTTCCTCCACACACACACACACACACACAAACAGAGACTGCTATATACAGACACAGTTATATAGATTTTGTCTTAAAGTCCATAGTAACACCTATTCACAGCCTACTGAAAAAGGCATTTTAGAGACACATTGTGTACATACATGAAACCACCATCTCTTGCAATAATACTAAAAATAAATAAATGAAATAAAACACACACACACACCTCCCACACATTTTCTCCTAAGGAGCTCAAGGCTCAATGTCAGCTCCAGGAAGGTTTTTTTTTTTTTTTTTTTTTTTAAATGCATGTTACAGAACCGTCTGAAATGCTGATTGACAGCTGGGATATCAGATACACACCAGTGATATGTAGCAGACTTCTGAAAGTGCTCTCAGGTGGCTTTAAGTCCAGTGTAAATCCATGTTCCAGTTTCATTTGATGTTTACACAGTTTCTGGGTTAAAAGCATGAGGAACATCATTTATACGATCAAAAAACTAATATTATATTATTAGTATATTAGCATACTATTTTTTAAAACCACGTCACATCAAATGTAAAAACACGTTTTCAATTGGAAATAAAACTAAAATTAAAAAATTGATCAAGCCATTGAATTTTGATTCTAATTAACTACATGATACGCCGATTAATTAATCTTATTAATCAAAAAAAATGCTCACACATCAGTTTTGGCTGAGAAATTACCCCCAAAAGATCATTTAAAGTCATTAATGTGTTAAATGAGAAAAGCATCAAAAAGACATTACCAAGAGTTTTTTTTTTACTTGATTCAACACTTAAGCTACAACGGCCACGTTTTTTTTTTTCACAAGCTGCATCTGAATTAGTATTTAGATATATTTACAGTCCGTTTAGCAGTTCAGAGGTGGCCTGATTGCATTTACACTTCAATTACAATTGCATAAATAATGAAATGGGATTAATAGGTTTTAAATGGGTTTCTTAATAATATGGAAATATGAAATTGTTTTGTTAATGAAATGATACTCTCAAAAAGAAACCAAAACTGCCAGTAGGTGGCGGTAAATGTCTTAACGAGTAAGTCGTTGAGTATCTTATTCATTCAATTAGTTCAACAGGTCGATTCATTCAGGAATTAAGTAAATGGCTCCACTTATGAATGGGCCACTGAATCAATACTTCACCTCATT